TTCTTGTCCTGAAGGTGTCGGCACACGGGCCCTCTTATTCCCAATGCTATTCCTACGGGTGTTGTGTCTCAACCCTTAATACCTATTTAAACAAACACATTGCCATATTCCCAATGCTATTCCTACTCGTCGCACTCCATAAATGATGCGCTGACATCCCGACAATAAAACAAAGCCTGAAATTGTGCTTTTATTAAAAAGTTTAAAGTCCGTGCAGTCGTGGCAAGATCGTGCGGCTCCACACAACAGCCATGTGTTCAGTACATTGCTACATATATATTGTAATTTCAAGGCAAGGTGTACATAGAATAAGCAGTGCCTCCAACAGATAACGAATGATAGTTAAAGTTAAAATTATGTTAATTAGTAATGTCGTCCTAATTAACATACCTCCTACGACTACCTTTCATGATATTCGCAGCTTAAAATCAAAGGAGATTTATTTGTCTAATTGAGCGCATGAACTTCATGCATCAATAATAAAAAATGAAAGGCTATAGTTTACTTTAAATTTTGAAAGGCGACTTATACGTACAGCAGGAAGCTAAACGGTTATGTCCAGAATGTGGCGTTGTTATATTTCACGACACCGCTTGTAATTTTGTCTCTTTTTGCGGACCTGAAGCCAAATTTAAAGTCATTCTACTCATACATTCATGAAGTATTGAAAATATCGGACATTTTCGAAATTAATACGACGTCATGATATAATTCCATCAGTTTTCGATTTTCCTTCGATGGCGATAATCATAACTAAAATTACTTAACTTAACCCCATAAGCAGAGTTTTAATGTGGCCCTCACTGCGCCGGGAACGTAGCCGCAACAAATTTAACACTCAAATACGGCGCTATGGCTTTGAGCATTGGACTTCAAATTAAGGCTTCAATGCCCTTATGCGTGCTCACCTAGAGGAGTGTGAACTAAGTGTGAAGTTGAACGAAACAGGCCGACAGCATCATCGCAGCATGCTCAGTTCGGGAGTTACCAGGCAATGCCTTATGCGACATATGGCAACATTTTTCATAAGGTCTTGGAGGCACCCGTTGACAGGCGACCTGCGTTGTCAAGTTCTATATGCTGAAGGTGCTTAAATCCAGAACAGCCCAATGCCACTATCACTTTTGCATTCCCTCCCATGCGCAACCATGCAACAGAGCATAATATTCTATGAAGTCAAGTGATTAAAGCAATAGTACCGTAAGTCCGTAGCCCTTATTCAAGTTAATATATTCTTCATGGATTTGAATCACCAGTATAACCCTACTTCCACATTTACCCGGATTCTCCACCCAAACAAACTGAGCCGAACACAACCTAACCTCATGGACAGCAGCCGGGTCGTGAGAAATTTTGAGGTGTATAGTGTCATGATGGGGTTGCACATCCATGGAGACAAGAGTGTCTTGAGCTGTGGCTACAGACATACGGTGCTATGGACAGTTCGGACTTCAGAACTGGAGTGAAGTCCAGTATTTGTATTTCTAAAATGGTCTGCCGGCAATTAAGGTGAGTACGGTTTTTACTGTGTTTGAGTGACGGAAATCACTGTGATCGACTTGATTGGTTAATGTCACTCACTCGGGCACGTCGAAGGCAGGAGGAGGCAGACGGAAGAGGCGGTCGCCGCCGGACAGGGACATGCCTCTGAAGTAGAGGCCCGGGAGGCCCGTCGTGTACCACGTCTGCCGCACGAACAGCACGCAGTTCGGGACCTTTTGGGTCAAATAAACAAGAAGCCGTTAATGGTGGTGGTGTCAGTGCTGGTGTTAACAATTGTCGTGCCATCCTACGGGTGATGTAAACTGATGAAGTGCCTTTGCCAGCTTACAGGCTGAGTTGGAACCGTCACTTGAGACTGGAATAGTCATGTTGCCCGTATTCTTGCGCATGATGAAGCGGTCTAAGGTGATTAGAATCAGCCAGAAACTATATGACAGCAGACGGCTCTCTGGTGAGCAGTGGTCTAAACGGTTCCTCATAACACACAGAATCATTAAACCAAGATCCAGCGTAACATGGGAGAAACGGGGCGACAAGTAAATGATAAATGTATGTTTATTTCGCACACTCAGATGCCCGACTGATTTTTTCTCAAAGCAGTGTATTTCATACAAGTGCGTTAAGGACGGCGTGTTCCTTAATTTTAATTGAATTTACTTAATTTGAATTTGAGTGCACACGTAGCAGATCCTTTTCCCTACACTATCCCATGTTAGGCGAATTTAAATTCGGTAACTACCCCTGAACATTCAATCTTTAACGGTGAACGTACCTCAGTTGCTTTGAAAGCGAAGGCCCCACATCCGGGGTTCAGGCGACACTGCCCCGCACAGGCGACAGGCGAGCCAGCCCACATCTTCTCCTGCTCCCCGTCGAAACTTTCATGCGACAGCTGGACTGTGAAGGACAGCCACACGCCCCCCACCGCCCAGGGCCGCTTCAGGGCGCTGGCCACCGCCAGCAGCCGATCTGCCGCCCGCCACACCGCCATTCGCCGAGGTGCCGAAATTGTAAACGGGCTGACTCAACCAGTGAGCAGAGTAGCTGTAACAGTTAGCAGGGCCGGGTGAGTGAACCAGTTTGAGGAGAGACTCAATCCGTTTGAGGCGAGACTCGATCAGTTATTAGGCTGACTGAATCAATGAGAGGGGTGCCTGGAAGGATATCAATCTATGAGCCATGGACATTCTTAAACAGGTATTGTTATGTACATCCTCGCTCGGAAAAAGAAACCGTCACGAAATGAAGTAACGAGGCCTCTTTGAAAAAAATTTACGAACTGTTACTAAGTTAAAAAAACAAAAAGAGCGGAAGTAACATGTCATACTACGGAAAACCTTTCTTCAATGAAATGCAAATAACAAAAATATTTATTAATTGTAAAGTAAACCAATAAAGTACATAATACCTGATGTTTCTTCACCAACCTAATTAGCAGGTTATTCTAATGTCTTTACTTGTACTCTGGGATGGTGGTGCAAAACTGAAATTTCCATATAGGAATATCAGGTTATTAAATGCAGCTTCTTATTCTAAAATTTTAATCGCTCTACAATCGTTATAACTATTGCACCTAAAGAATGTGCAAAGTTATCTTCATCCAGGAGCTGTTCAAGAGGCCACCAAGTGTGTTAGCGTTGCTAGAGAAGTTCAAAAATAAGTTATCGCTTTTCAAGAGCCTTTCCTGAGCGACGGCCTGCTCTGATGTGCGCTCTCTAAACCCCAGACACTAGTATTATACCCACTTCCGTAACTGACACGACGGCATTTTTGCGTTTCAAAGCGAACCATAAATTTACTATGTAATTTGTCGCATATTTAATGTCGAATATCTTTCTGCCCTTGCCCAATAAGTGATATAATGTTTATACAGGGCACTTTAAATGTGCTAGTGATTTATTTTCAGGGACAAAGGACATTATGAATATTGAGTTGAATTGTCAATAAGGACTGCATACATATTCACTGGATGGCTCAGGTATGCCTTTCATTTGAGATGATCATCAGTTACCCCTGCAATGATGACCGAAATCGTGCAGGTCATCAGTGGCCAAGGATCATCAATCGACCAGTGACATCGGCCTTGATGGCCGGGGAGACAAAAATGATCGACAGCTTCACCTGAAGAATAGCATTAAGAACTTTCTGCTGCACGTCAGCCAATGTGCCTTCTTTAGCCCAAAGCTTCCTCTAAAACCTTAAACTTGAAATGATTCCACTTTGCTACTTTAGTTAATATCTAGCAATATTAGGAATGAGGCGTAAAAATATTATGATATGGAAAAACTTGAATCATCCAGTAAAATTTCTGATACGTTTCGATAAATTACGAATGACACAGTACTAAATTTATCAGAATGATTCATTCGAATAGGTTTTTAGGTCAGTTGAAATAACTAATCGTAAAGCAACACTGTGGGTTGGCCCACATGATTTTCGGCTGCTGCTACTTGCCACATTAAAAGACGCCAAGGAGCAGAAACAATTAACGGAGTGACTAAACCAGTTAACGGAGTGGCTGAACCAGTGAGCTGGGTGACTGAACCAATTAACGCAGGAGTTGGTATAAAACAATATACTAAAACATAATTCAATGTACTGGTGTCAGATTTGGCCATGTTTGGACCATCGCCAATTCAAGACATCAAGAAACTTTCCTTCTGAAATGTATCAGGTTATTAAGTTATCGGAATGGCCAAGCCAATCAACTGACCACAATTCGATTGAAAATCTAAGCCAAGAATTGAAACTGAGGGTACAGGAGAGAGATCCAAGAAATCTTATTCAATGGAAAGAAATATGCAAGGAAGAGTGGGCTAAAATTCCTATTAGCATATGTGGGAATCTAGTGAACAAGAATTCCATTCATTTAGAAGCAGTTTTGGCTGATAAAGGTCACATGACGAAGTATTGAGTAAATTTGTTTCCTATGTATTGAATACTTTTTTAGCCTAAACTTTTACAAAACTGCAAATATCAAGTCAACATTTAATGATATTGTTTTTTTTTTATATATTTGTATTTACCATGTAACTTCACATTAGAATAGTGTTCGTTAATGTTATTTTGTTGAATAAGCTTTAACAAATTAATTTATTTAAGTTTTTTCTTCAAGTTTTTCCTTTGTGTCGGGTACCTCTTGAACCCACTGTACTTTGGCTAACACACGAGCAGTAATAACAGGTGAGGTCAGATACAGAACTGACGCAAATGAGAGAGCTTCTTCAGTTAATGTCGACTTACAACGCCAAAGTTTGGAGCACTTCATAGACTGCCATTCCCGCTATCGTGCTAACTCAGGCAAAAAGAATATGAAGTGAAGTGTAAAGTTGGGCTAATCTGGCCTCTTACATGCACCCCAGCATTTTATGGCCTCTCAACCTCTGAAATTCAGGTCAGGCAAATGTTTTCCATCGATCGTGTCATCACGGCAGTAAAACAAGGCTTGACTTTGTCATTTTATTAAAGTGTTAACGGAGCAAATAGTTGCCCCTGAATGTAAGCCACACACAACGGCTAAGTGTTCAGTAAATAGTCACACAAATAAATCATTATATATTGCAATCATTTAAGCAAACTGTGCTCAGTTCATAATTCAAAACTACAGAATAAACTTCTACCTTGACCGTACGTAATTATTTGAATTGGTTGCACGTCAGCACTATCACTTTAGCCCATTTTTCTAGCATGTGATGCCAGATTATTTTAGATGATTACCGACTTAATATCATCGTTCTCAACTTTTCTTGCCATTACTGATGATGTTTACAATCAAAGTTCTTTCGTCGATAATTGCAATTTTGATGCAGAAAATTAGCATGACTCCATAATAGGATCGCCATTATCTTTGCTTATCACCATTATCATTGCTGGTTGAAGCAAAAAATTTTTACGCACGCATCATTGTTGCATAAAACGAGACTCTTCCTCACCCTCAGCACGATCCCAGAGCTACGTAGCACTGTTGAACCCTTTTTCGAGCCAAACTGGGTCAAGATGACGCACACAGACCCAAAAGTACGTCTATATATAATAATAAAAGTGCATCACGAATATCCCTGCTAAATAATTTCTCTGAGCATAAGATTGTCACTAACGAAGGCGAAAAAGTAAAGTAACTTTTAGTCAAGTTGGGTTAAACACACCACACTTTCATTTGAAGATGCCAGAGCACAATTTTTAAGGACTTTTTAAGGAGAATATCTGTTTAGTGAGTATGTGGCCTCTGTATCTCATTAACATTTTAAAAGTATTTCTCACAAATGTGTTATCAATGTGAAGGTAAACATTGGTCTCAGAATGGATAGTATTATAGGCATTGCTCTGAGTAAAATTTGTTAAGACATCCGGTGCAAGCTAGTAAGAATCTCTCTATCAGGTTCAACGAATCCTTTTCCCATGACTCGAATATTGCGATGATAAAAAGAAACGGGAAACTCTCAATGTTTCAGAAAGTCGAAAGGAGATGCTAAGAAATTTTAGAACGTGTACTGGCAGACTGCGGCGTCGGAGTTGACGACCCAGTCAGCACAATGCATCCTATAAGGCCAATTGTAGTGACTCGCGATGCACTGCGGTGTAACGTCTGTGTTCCACGTATCCCAATTGACAAGCAGCGAGGCGTTGACGGGCTCCCCAGTCATGGTGGTGAAAGGGGCCGTCTCTGATGTCCTCTTGAGGTCGTAGCAGTAATCACCCTGACTCTGAACCGCCACCAAGTCCTTCAGGACTGTCGGCACTTGCACCAGACGCAGGCCGATCGCCTGGCATTTAGCCAGGGACATGCTGAAAAAACACAATGCTAAATTTTGGTTTAAAGTTGAAAATTTAACTATTTATTTAACTATTGATGTCATATGATGAATCGAGTAGAAAAATTTACAACACCTGACTCCAAATAAATATCATTCAGTCACCTTCAATCGAGATGTAATTTGATGAAATTACAAAGTTTACGTTTCATCGAACATCACACGGCACCGTCTATAACTTACCTGACATCACGAAACTAGTGATCACCGTACGCATTTTTGATATTCTTACCCCTGTGTTTGCATTACGTCGTGGGACCTAAGATCAGCAAAATAATGGGTCAATGTTCACCCCCTTTGACTCACTCGGGAACGTCGTAGGCAGGAGGAGGCAGACGGAAGAGGTAATCGCCGCCGGACAGCGACATGCCCCTGTAGTAGAGGCCCTTAAGGCCCGACTTGCCCCAGTACATCTGGCGCACGAACAGCACGCAGTTCGGGACCTGCACAGTGGAGAGGACATATCAGTGGATATTTAACTTCCCCAGCGGAGAGGGTGTCAATGGATATCAAACCTGCCAAGTGGAAAGGATATCAGTGAATATCTGAACTGCCAAGTGGAAAGTATATCAGTGGATATCTAACCTTCCAAGTTTAGAGGAACCCACAATTAACCCCTTTGAGACTCCAGGACTCAAAAACGTATAGCCCTGCAATGCTTCCAGATGCTCGTCAAAAATTGAAACGTTCTAATAGGTCTTTCGTTATTATGATAATCATTACTTAGGTACCTGCAGTTGGATTCTCAACTGTCGTATGCTAGTGAAAACCAGATGATCAATTGATGTGGTCTCCCAGCACCGCAAGCTGTACGCATGTTTATGGTGGTGTGCACGAGACCATCTGATAAGTACTCATTGCCTAACTAACTCTACCAAACCAATGCATAATTACAAGAAACTTAATTTCTCAATTTACCTCAGTTGCGTTGAAAGCGAAGGCCCCACATTCTGGGTTCAGGCGACACTGTCCTGCACAGGCGACAGGCGAGCCAGCCCACATCTTCTCCTGCTCCCCATCGAAACTTTCCTGCGACAGCTGGACTGTGAAGGACAGCCCCACGCCCCCCACCGCCCAGGGCCGCGTCAGGGCGCTGGCCACCGCCAGCAGCCGAGCCGCCGCCCGCCACACCACCATCAGTAAAGGCCCGTTCACACTAGGGGCAACACACGAGAGTCAAGTGCCTCAAAGCGCATGCAGAGGCGCTTTGCAGCCTCTGCATGCGCTTCCTGGCCGATTGACGAGCTAGCGATTGACAGGGGCCATGCCTCATGAAACACAAGCGCGGCACTTAGTAGATAGCTATTAGAGAATTGATATCACTTGTATGCTTAAATCGCAAATTAACTAAGAATTTAAATTAAATTAAAAATTTAAATCAAATTAGAAATCTAAATTAATTAATTAAAGAAATTCAATTCGTTCTATGGTTTCAATGTATTAATTTGTGATTCTAGATTCTACGAACTGACGATGGAGCTGGTCTCCGAAACGTTTTCTATAAAGATATGAATTTTTGTGGACTATTCTTTGCTTTTAAATTCTTAGTTAGTAGATAGCTGTCTGTGGTCTAGTAGTAGTAAGGTTGATTGTGTACGCTAGTCCGGCACACCAAATGTCGACTAAAAAACACCACTCTCGTTTGGAGTCACTCTCTAGTAGAGCGCCTGATTAATTATTCTTTATAGAGAACACGAATGCCTATGGGAGTGTTCGGTCAAAGGAGTACAAGAATCGAAATGCAAAAGATGTAAGTTATTTTTACATGACGTGTTTAGTTTATGTGATTTTAGCAACTCCTGACAATTTATGCATTACCGTTTAGCGATTTCAAAGGATGATATAATATCGGTAAGAATATTGGAACTTTTTATTTAAGAATAGACTATATTTTTTATAAACTGTATCTTTTTGAATGTGCTAGTTCTCTAATTATGATGCCCATGCTAAATTCTCGTTTACAATTGGCATAGTGCGAAGAAAGATGGACCGCAGCACACCCGAGAACAATGGCCACAGCTCAAATTCGGTTACATCCATCCTCATTGACGTCTAGGTGGCAACTAGTGTTCAAAGCGCGCGGTCTCAAACTACTGAGTACAAAAGTAGTGTGAACGGTTGTGCGCGGTGAGGCACTGCAGCAAACGACTCAAAGCGCATGTCGTTGCCGCTAGTGTAAACGGGCCTTGAGGCAGCTGAAAAAGTTGATGGGGTGACTAAACCAGTGAGCGGAGTGACTAACCTAATTAGCAAGGCGACTTAATCAATCAAAGTAGAGCCTGTATATCTGAACTATGCGACTAAACTAATCAGCTACATGACTGAACCCTTAAGCTGATTGACTGAAACAGCTAGCATGGTTACTGAAACAATGAGTGGGGTTGAGCTTGCTAGCTTTTATTGCCACTTTCTGGCGCTCCTGAACGGGCCTCAAATCATGAAATCCTGTCATCATTTTATTATTAATTGTGCTTAGCTAATATATCATTCGGGACATAATTTATTTGAACATATTGTATTCGATGGTATTCTTACTGTAATTACATAGATGTTCTTACCCAAAATTACCTCAATGCCATTCGTATCACACTTTTTTGTGTCAAATTATTATAGTGTATGAATGAAAAAATCTAGTGGTTTAAAATCAATCCACTGTTATTAACTATTATTACCATAGGAAACCTGAAATTTATTTGCACTTAAAATGTGCACTTAGACACACTGCACAGTCCTCTCTACTCCATAAGATAAGATAAATACAATAAGACTCAAAACAAACTGGAATATATGCCCCAGTTGCACCTCCAGAGAACTCGTAATAATAAAGTTACCCAGTACCCACCATTTAAAGCCTAGAGTAACCTTACTTCAATGTTTCCACAATGAATCATATCGGTTGTGGTTCCAATCCCTCGAATTTAAATAAATTGTTCATTCAAAAAATAAATAATATAATTATTATAATTATTCGAAATAAACATCAACCAGGAAATTGTGGTGGATTCTTACGAGCTAGCGAAGTCGGTTGCGCTTGATATCAGCGGAGAGTGGAGAATTTATACCGTTCCCCGGGACTAAAAGCTTGTAGGTGATTCAGCATAACCTGAAGACATGCTGAGTGAAATTCATAACAGTTGTTTGAAATTTAGAACTATTTTTAAAGGTACACATTAAAATATATTTAAATCACTGCATTCTTGGAACATGGGGCACAAATACGGTCATTAATACGGTCATATACGGCAATTAATACTGTCAAACTAAATTCGTAAAATAAGTCAATGATGATCGTTTGCAATAACAGCATCTACACTGGAGAGGGACTAAAGATCCTTAAGAACGAACACGAGTTATAGAAAATATCTTATTTTCTCACAATAAACTTGATAGTTTATAATTATTGAGATTTACTATGCTCAGATATTAGTCTTTGTTGATGTTGAAGCCCACAACAGGTATTAATTCTTGTTGAATTTATGAATAAATTTCGTCCATATAATACTGGTCACAAAGTAGCTGGTTTAATGAATTCTTGCCATTTACGGGAAGTAATATAAATTAATCTAACAATAATCAGATTATTTGATACTGATAACTCACTGCTAAATTGTCTAAATAATTGGCACTAACAGATTTCGATACTAGGAGATTATTCAAATTCTTGTCACCATAAGGGGATAGATTAATTCAACAATAAATTAAAACTTTCAATTGTCACTTATAAGGCAAGTTCTACCGGAACCTAAATGAACAAGGAATGCGATAATTATTTTATTCGCTCAATTTATTTGCATTGGTAACTCATGTATTTTTACCACATGGCATTAAAAGTAAACAGGAATGATGATTGATTTTCTACAGCCACAATACACTAGAGAATATTTCAGTGAAACCTGGTCGTTCAAGCCTCTGCTTCTGAGTGAATCTAGAGGCTCTCTAAGCCAGTAAGCTCTGAATGTCTAGTCTTAAGGCCCGTTCACACTAGGGGCAACACACGAGAATCAAGTGCCTCAAAGCGCATGCAGAGGCGCTTTGCAGCCTCTGCATTTGGACCGCAGCACACCCGAGAACAATGGCCCACAGCTCAAATTCGGTTACATCCATCCTCATTGACGTCTAGGTGGCAACTGGTGTTCAAAGCGCACGGTCTCAAAGACTCAAACTACCGAGTACAAAAGTAGTGTGAACGGTTGTGCGCGGTGAAGCACTGCCAGCGAACGACTCAAAGCGCATGTCGTTGCCACTAGTGTAAACGGGCCTTTAAAAGAGACTAACACGCATTTTTGGTTATCAAAAAGTTCGGTAATTTCGAGAAAGTTTGATAATAGTTTCCATTCACGCGAGTGCTGCAGTAGAGTTTATATGAAAGTTGATATAACCGTGCATTTGTGGCTTGTAATCAGTCTAGCAGTGAGGTCAAAATACGAGTGCGAATATATTTCTTTTGACTGAAAGTTTCTTCTCAATGCAGGTAAGAATGTCATTGCAAAGTAAGCCGATTTTTCCTGCAGTTGAGCTGCAATGCTCGTTGATGCTTCCTCGTGAGAACTTGTACGGCGATCAATCGATCTTCTGATGCCGCATTGTGATGGGTTTGATTGGCAGCGAGTGTGATTGGCAGCGAGTGTGATTGGCAGTCCATCTTTGTATCTGGGACTTGGTTACGCCCATCTTTGTATCTGGGACTTGGTTACGCTCATCTTTGTATCTGGGACTTGGTTACGCCCATCTTTGTATCTGGGACTTGGTTACGTCCATCTTTGTATCTGGGACTTGGTTACGCCTATCTTTGTATCTGGGACTTGGTAACGCCCATCTTTGTATCTGGGACACAAGTTAATATTAATAATTAAGTTGTCAATATTATCTATATTGTCAATATAAAAACACATGTAAGATGTAGAATACAAAAATTCTATCCTATACCTCGCTTTTTTTGCCATGTCTTCGTGCGTCATTTTTTAACACGTAGTTTACGAGCGACTGTAGAGCTGTTCTTAATAAAAATCAGTCATTTTTCATGTTTTTCAGCCTCGCAGAAGAACTCAAGCACGAGCTTCAGATGGATGAATGTGCATTAGTTGCTGGGAACAATAGTAGTTTTATGATTATTTAGGTTGAATATTATTCACATTTGGTAGTTAAAAGTTGATTTCATGGTTCAGGTGAAATTGCACCGCGCAGAAACAACAGATGCCCTGCCAGGAAACACCCAGCGCGTGTCGTCCATTATGAACATCAATCAATCGAGGAGCATCGCTCATATACAAGCGACTGCAAATAACTCATTTAATTAACATGCATCGCTCGATCACTATAATGGCTGTGGACATGTAAAATATTTCACTTTGATTATTACATAGGACAGCTGTTTTAACTGCGGCTTTTTTTCATAGTAATTTATCTTATATCTCCGTGGAAATCACTATTATTGATGATAGAGCAGTTGGAGCAGCGTATATTTGATAAGAATTTGGAGAGAATTCGTACAGATTGGATACTAAGAACTTCACTTCTACACCTGAATTATAAATAAACACGATATCGACCATGGCAACACATATAAATCTTTATCTCATAGTATTACTGCCTGAATTATAACTTAATCACTGACCGCCCTTTGCTAAAACATGTTTCTTTTCATTCAAGAAATCATTATGAGTTGTAAGCCAACATTTCGCAGAAACTTGAACAATTTTGGGCCTCGAATTAACTTCCAGGCCACCGCCGTGTGCTACAAGCTAAACTCAGCAACTATCCTCTGAACCTACGCCCAGCCTCAGCAACTATCCTCTCTCCTCAACATTCACACTTATTGTCACGGAAAACCTATCTCCTCCTAGAGTTTTGAAGCTACAACAATGAGACATATACCATTCGATTCGCAAAGAATAGATCTACAAAACGACCTAGCGGTTTTTTCAATTTCGTCATAGTTTGGATTTTATTCCTGAAAAAGGGGGGGTGGAAATGGGTAAAATCGAAAAATTTCCGAAAACTTTACGAAAAATGCTCCCACACCCGCAAAAATTAGAAATTCTAAAAAGGGCTAGGTCGTTTTATAGATAAAGATTTTACGCATCGAATGATATGTGTCTCGATGTCGTAGCTTGAAAATTCTAGGAGGAGATAGATTACAAAAGTACCCCCTTTTTTGACCGTTTTCTATGAATTTCACGTTTTCTTTTATTTTTTCGAAAAATTCACACGAACAAAATGTGAGTTTTTTTTCATTTTACATATATGTACCAAGTTTCAGAGTGATCCGTTTGTAAAATGCCGTGATAATTTTTGGGGTAGACGCTCCCCTTAATACATACGACAGCTGCTTCAACTGCGGCTATTTGTCATAGTAATTTATCTTATATCTCCATGGAAATTATTGTAGTGATGATAGAGCAGTTGGAGTTGCTCATATTTTATAAGGATTTTTAAGATAATTTTTTATTGGATACTAAATTATTAACGACGCAATATTACAGAAAAAATCATACATTGCCCGTGTCGAAATTTGAGCACGTAATGTTGAACTTCGATTACATGATAAAAATATAAATAATCCCGTTATCGACCATGACAACACATATAACCCGTTATAGCTCATAGTATTGCTGTCTGAATTAATACCTAACCATTGCCCGCCCTTTGCTAAAGCTTGTTTCTTTTTACAACACTTCTCTTTAACTTAACTTCTTGTTTGTTTATTTGTCTGCTACAAATCTTATAATCGATATTTAACACATTTCTACCTTTCAAATCGACTTGAAATTTAGTACGCTTGCGTACAGTCGGAGACCATCATGAATCAAGTGACAGAATGAATAATTTACAAAGTTAAAAAAATTGTAATTACAATTTTATTAAATACTTTTCAATAATAAAAATAAAATAAGAAATGCATTGTACATGTGTAACAACGGAGATACTGGCCTCTTTAGAAGTGTCGTCTTCAAAAAGTAATTTTTAAACATATATTATTATTCATGAAGTTATTATGAATTGTAAGCCAATATTTCGCAGAAACGTAAACAATTTTGGGGCCACAAAATTTAACTCTCAGGCCACCGCCGAGAGCCACAAACTAAACTCAGCAACTATCCTCAGAACCTTTGCCCAGCCTCAGCAACTATCCTCAGAACCTTTGCCCCTGTCTCTTATACACATCTAGATGTGTATAAGAGACAGCTCTGAACCTACGCCCAGCCTCAGCAACTATCCTCTGAACCTACGCCCAGCCTCAGCAACTATCCTCTGAACCTACGCCCAGCCTCAGCAACTATCCTCTGAACCTACGCCCAGCCTCAACAACTATCCTCTGAACCTACGCCCAGCCTCAGCAACTAACCTCTGAACCTACGCCCAGCCTCAGCATGCAATAGCTACTCTCAACCGCAGAGCCAGAAGCTGCGCGCTGCCTTGGAACACCGTATTCCAGATCACTTCTATGCTCTAAATTTTTGAATACAAAAAATCAATTTCAGGGCATTTAATTGAAGTTAAATTATTAAGCAATAGTGCCATAAATTCACAGTCACCTCTTAATCTATCCAACTCTGCAGAATGGATCGCATCTAGCCGAACCTACTCTTTATACCCCCGCTTCTCCTCCTTGTCGCAGCCAATGAGCTTAGTTTGGTCCATCCAGGTTTGATTTGGGCGGAGATTTGGGAGATTTGGGGCAATTAACGTGAGTACAGGTACGGCTGGGTGCAGAATCAACTGCCTTGAGTGAGAACGCTTTAGCTAGGGCTGTAACTAACGACTTTATTGATGCAAGCACTTCATAGGCTAATAATCCCTCTGGAGTGCTTACTAATACATAGGCTAATATTCCCTCTAGAATGTTTACAAACACATAGGCTAATATTCCCTCTAGAGTGCTTTCTAATACATAGGCTAATATTACCTCTAGAGTGCTTACTAATACATAGGCTAGTATGCCCTTAGAGTGCTTACTAACACATAGGCTAATATTCTCTAGGAGAGAAAGAAATAGGAAGTGAAGTGTAAAGTTGGGCAAAGCTGGCCTCCTACATGCACTGCAACAATTTTATGGCCTCTCAACCTCTAACATTTAGGCCAGGCAAATGTCCTCATCGATCGTGTCATCACGGCAGTAAAACAAGGCTAGACTTTGCAATTTTATTCAAGAGTTAGAAGAGCAAACAGTGGCACCTTGAATGTATGCTTCACACAACGGCTAAGTGTTCAGCAAACAGTCACACAAATAAATCTTTATAAATAGTAATATTGAGCAAACTGTCCTGACTTCAAAATTCAAAACTGCAGAATGAATTTCTGCCGTGACCTATGTAGTTATTTGAATTTGTTGCACGTCAAAACTCTCACTTTAGCCCATTTTTCTTGTATCTGTTTCTTGATTCTTTAACAATAATGGATTTTCGGGATTGTTCATGATTTTAAAATTACTAGGATTTTTCAATTAAACCTTATCATCTGATCATTCGTATTATTTCTTACCATTAATGATTGTTTTGCAATCAAAGTTCTTTAGTCAATCATTGATGCCAGAAAATCTGTTTGACTTGATGAAAACGACGGCAATATCATTATAATTAAGCGAACCAGCAATTACCAACCGGTATCATTTTGGTATTGCGCTCAGCACGACCAGAGCGATACCAGGGACAAAAAGTGCAACACTGAATACTAATAAAAGTAGATCGCTATATTATGATAAAAGTGCATCGTTATATAATAAATAAAAGTGCAGTGCTATATAATAATAATAGAACATTGCTATATATTAATAAAAGTGCATCACTTCCTTATTACTCAATAATTTCACTAGTTTATGATTGTGACAGATGAAGGCGTCATAGCGAAGTAATCATAATCAATATGGGCTGAACACAATAGTTTTCAGCGCTCATTTTAGCTTACAGGTTTTGAGTGAAAACATATAGTTAATTCGAGAGGCGATTTTGGTTTTCTGTCTCATAGCAAGTAGTAAGTAATAAAAGTTCCAGCGTTTATTAGGCCGTTAGACTTGCTGCCGATTCTCAACACCGCATCATATTTACAGCTTGTTGAGGTTTCGAAGACGCAACTCACTACTCCAATTTTGCTGTACTAAACCGCCCGACCTCCTCGCCGATTCTGACGAGAATTGGCGCAGTTAGCTGGGATCGAACCCGCACCTCTCTGCTTCAATCCTGGTGCTCTGAACTGTAACCACTGGGCATTTTAAAGTATTTTTCATTCGTAAATGTGTTTTCAAAGTGATGACAAAACATGGTAGCAAAAAGAACCGGATACTGAATACTGCTCATTTATTTGTCTAATTGGGCGACTGAACTTCATGCATGAAAAAAATGAAAGGCGTCTGTTTGACTTTAAATTTTGAAAATCGACACATTCGAACAGCTGGAGGCTAAAAGAGTAAGTCCACAATTCGCGTTGTTATATTTCACGATAAAGCTTGTTATTTTGTCTCCATTTTGCGGACCTGAAGCCAAATTCAAAGTCATTCTACTAAGACATTCTAAAAGTATTGGAAATATCGGAAATTTTCGAAATTAATACATCATGATACAATTCTATCAGTTTTTGGTTTTCCTCCGCTGACGACGATCGCTACTGAAATTACTCAACCAAATCAGTTGAGTTTTAATTGGGAACGATGCTAAAATTGCATTTGCATTGAAAAGTAATGTAAATGTCCATGTATTCATTCATTGAACTTAAACTATGAAAATTGCCAACGAAGTTGAACTTAAAACGTAATGAAAAATTTCGTATTTTAAAAGCTCTTTGCAATCCGTAATCACACGTACTATGAGAAGATAAATATATCATGACACACAGAGAAAATTGTGAGAAAATGTCTAAAATGTAAGTCCTGCGTTTCATGTAAAGATATTATTTATAAATCATAGGAACACATGTCGAAAATTTCATCAATATAAATAATTAATCAATTGTGTTAAAATGTTGTAAAATTATTATTGGATTGCGGCATCTAATTATAACATCAGTGAGAACAATCGGTGACAAAACGTGAACAACCTCATAATAATTTCTAGAGCAACTTTATATCGGAACTTTATTTAGATGATGAAGACGGACTATGGTTGAACAGCTCAACATTTCAGAACAACCAAAATAAATGCATGGAGATTTTCATGTATTGACAGACTCGGGCGTCTAAACACCCCATCAAAAGTTACATGTCTTGGTTTAGTATTGAAAGATAATTTACTTACTTTAACCGGGTTATTTATTTGTTTTTATCGCAAAATAAATCCGCTCATTCCCAATTTATCCATAATTACATTATATCAATATTTTCGTCATTTTTAGGGTAATAATAGCTATCTTGTATCGTTTTAGGGTAAGCAAACCGACTTCCTAGGATCCTTAGTAAACATTCGGTCTTGAACCGTCTTGTCATGTATGGCGTAACTGGCTAAAGTAAGTTGTTGGACCGATTGTGCAGGATAAGATTGGCTAGTCGGATTTCATTAATTACTAATGTTTATTTATCAGGTCCCCATATTCAATTCATTATCTTGCTCAATTTTAGTTCTATTCATGATGTATCAATGTCCAGTTGTTGTGTTTATAGCTCAGTTATTTCACTTTAGTAATTATACTGTTTATTTTTTACAGTATTTTCTGCCCATGCTTCTTAATTCACTGGTTTAATTAATCTGCAATCTCATCGTCGTCGTCGGCATCTGTCCGTCTCGAGAGACGATGGGTTAGCTATTGGTCCCGCCTGCATCGCCGAGAGTGGCTGTGCAGACCGATCCTGGAGTGACAAGCCAATCCACAGCCATCACAGGTGAAGGCAGATGGCTGTCGCTGCTGCGTCGCCCGCTGTTTCCGTCTGAATCTCCTTTGAGAGTCGCCATCGCGGCGCTCGACCTCAGCGCAGGACACGGCCTGCCCGACAGCGCGTCTCCAACCCTGGCGGTCAGCTGCTTGGGTCTGCCACGAGGATGGGTCGATGCGGCACCGTTTCAAATCCCTCATGCAGATGTCCTTGAGGCGTAGTTTCGGGCGTCCCGTTTTCCGTCGGCCTTCCACGAGCTCGCCGTAGAGGAGGTCTTTGGGTATGCGGCCCGCTCCCATCCTACTGACATGTCCCAGCCACTTGAGACATCTCTCGCTGAGAACTGAGAGCAGACTAATCATATTTGATCGCTCTAGTACCACAGAATTGGGAACTCTGTCCTGCCACTTGATCTGCAGTATGCGTCGGAGACACCTCATGTGGAAGCCGTCGAGTTTCCTTTCGTGCCCCGCATAGGTGGTCCATGTCTCGCAACCATACAGGAGAGTGCCGAGGACGCAAGCCTTGTAGACGCACAGTTTAGTCTTCACGGTCAGGCTCGAGTTGTTCCAAACTCACTGGGTTAATTTGGCCATGACTGTGGCGGCCCTGGCAATCCTGCTGTTTATCTCGGAGTCGATGGACAGTGAACTGGAGATACTGGACCCGAGATAGTTAAAGTTCTCGACGACCTCCAGGGTGTAACCATCCAAAACAATGCTCGGGGGAGTCCCAGAGCCCTAGGACAATACCTTAGTCTTTCCCAGGCTGATGGTCAGGCCAAACTCTTTACAGGCATTAGCAAAGCGGGTGATAAGCTGCTGGAGTCCTCCCTCGGTATGTGATGCCAAGGCTGCATCGTCGGCGAAGAGCATCTCGCGGATTAGGACCCTGGTGACCTTATTGAAGAGCTTGCCGTCGTGTCTGGTGTGTATGAAAACGCCTTCGTTACAGTCCGCGAAGGCGTACCGAAGAAGCATGGAGAAGAAGATACCAAAAAGCGTGGGCGCGAGCACGCAACCCTGCTTCACTCCGCTGCTGACTGGAAAAGCTTCTGAGGTCACACCGTTGAAGCAAACCGTGCCGTGCATATTTTCGTGGAAGGACTTGACCACCGCGAGTAAGCGCGGTGGGCAGCCGATCTTCTGCAACAAGTGGAAAAGTCCGTCACGACTAACCAGGTCAAAAACCTTCGTTAGGTCAATAAAAGCGACGTGGAGAGGCATCTGCTGCTCATTGCACTTCTCCTGCAGCTGACGCAGGGAAAAATCATGTCCACCGTCGATCGAACAGCCCTGAATCCACATTGGGATTCGGGGTAGACGCGAGCGGCGAGGAGCTGCAAGCGAGAGAGAGCGACCCGGGCGAATACCTTGCCAACAACGCTGAGGAGAGAGAATCCCCGGTAGCTGTTACTGTCACTTCTGTCTCCCTTATCTCATCACCCAAAATACATATACTATTTTAACTTGTTATTTATTCATAGCCTCTGCGCTAATAACTTACTAAATTTAGTTGCCTCCGAGACATAAGTAGATCACATAGGGTTGACTTGACCTTACCCCAAGGACTACTACACACAGGACATGCATAGCCTATGTCCAGCCTCTGCTAGCAGAGGCGATCGCCTACACTATGAAAATGCTGTTGTTTTAGTGGCATCAACAAATGATATGCCCATAATTGTTTCATACAATAGTATTACAATGTGTGTAGTAGTCCTTGTCAAGGACTACTACACACATTGTAATACTATTGTATGAAACAATTATGGGCATATCATTTGTTGATGCCACTAAAACACCAGCATTTTCATAGTGTAGGCGATCGCCTCTGCTAGCAGAGGCTGGACATAGGCTATGCATGTCCTGTGTGTAGTAGTCCTTGCCTTACCCGCAAATGTGCCGGCAACATTGTTCTTATTGAAATGAATGAAGTCTGTGAATAGTCAGTAGCAGCGTCACTTGTGGTGACACTGGCAAATGTTGGTAAGAAGCAAGAGGTGGCGCATTTTTTTGCATGTGGTTGCTGAAGTGAGTTGACCTAACATCGAAAGGAAACTTTTATTGGGGGCTTGCGGGTGTTTACTGGCAGACTGTGGCGTCAGATGTGAGGACCCCGTAGGCACAATGCATCCTATAAGGTCAATTGTAGAGACTCGCGATGCACTGCGGTGTCATGTCTGTGTTCGAAGTATCCTGTATCACCATCGGTGAGACGTTGACGGGCCCCCCAGTCATGGTGGTGAAAGGGGCCGTCTCCAAAGTCCTCTTGAGGTCGTAGCCGAACTGGCCTTGGCTCTGAACCGCCACCAAATCCTTCAGGACTGTCGGCACTTGCACCAGACGGAGACCGATCGCCTGGCATTTCGCCAGCAACTGGCTGGTAAAAAGTTTTTCAATAATTTTCATAGTAGTTCACAGTTATATATAATTTATGCACCATTATGGCAGCAGTATCAAGTTCATCAACGTTTCAAAGCAGTGGTGTAACAGCTGGAGAGCAGTGGTATAACTATCCACGACATATTTAAGTCCTTCAGGACTGTCGGCACTTGCACCAGACGCAGGCCATTGGTTTTGCAGTCAGCCAATTAAAGACTGGCTGGAAAAACATCACGTCCACATTTTTAATTCAAACTGAACATTCAATGAAGCACAAAATTATTGAGCGAATTACCCCTAAAGTTTTCGGATTTGGCATTTCCGGTTTTTAGTCTCACCTTAAAGCTGACATTCTGCCCTATCCAACGGTACCATTACCATCTCCGTATGTTGATTTATGCGTTCACGACAGATTAAGAAAGGGAGGGGGATAGGGGAGTTCTTTAAAAAATAGAATAGGAGGAAATTCGCTGCGAGCACTTTAAATAGAGTGTCTGCTTGAGGTGCACCTTAGTTACCCGCCTGGCGTCGTATGAGTAGGTGTGCATGCAGTCGCTTCCACCATCCTTGACTGGAATCAAGCTCCAGTAACGTTTAGTTTTGTATCCTTGCTACATTGAGAGCCTATTGCGATGCGCGCGGGACTTTGTCGCGCTCTCCTGAACATTTACACTTATTGTCACGGCAAACCAATCTCCTCCTAGAGTTTTGAAGCTACAGCGATGAGGCATATACCATTCGATTCGTAAAGACCATACCTATCGACTAAGAAAGCCCGTTTCGAGATCTGTGCATAGTTTACATTCAAAATTGGGGGGGGGGGGGAATCTGAAGAAAATGAGAAGAAAACGGGAAAATTCGTGTAAAAAAACTATGGCAAAAATCGGGCTTCGTTACTCGATTGGTATGGTCTTTACAAATCGAATGGTATATCTTTCAATGCTGTAGCTTGAAAACTGTAGGAGATAGATTTTTAAAGTACCCCCTTTTTTGTCAGTTTTCTATGAATTTCACGTTTTCTATCAATTTTCCGAAAAAAATGATACGAAAAAAATCTGCTTGTATTTCGGTTTAACATATAAGTGTGAAGTTTCAGAAAGATCCGTTAGTAAATGTGAAAGTTTTTCTGGAGAGTAGACGCCCTCCTTAAAGGAACCTTTTCAGCTGAAAATATTGCAGATTTCACAGTGAAACCTTGTAGACATAATGTAACCCCATTAGTTTTCAATGGCAGAAAACGAATTTTGTTTCTCCTATCGTTGCGTATTTCTCAATAACTAGCCAGACAAGCAGCTAACATGAAGTACTGATTACATTTGCAATATTTTTTTTCGAAAACTTTGATTATTTTGAATATCCGTTGAGAAAGGGTTACATTAGGCTTGCGAATATCTGAACTGTTTTTCAGCTCATTGTTTTGAGGTTCATGGTAAACGTCTACGGCCACGCTGTAAGCACCGCCTCTGATGGCAAGCATCGCCCATGAATGACACCGCCGAATTTTCACAGATTACGGAGGCTCAACCCCTTAACTTGCTGTTAAATTATCGGGACGTACAGCGAACAGTTTTCATTGTCGCACTTTTAATTTGTGTTATAAATATTCCTCATTTCAAATTCTCGTCGTTTAACATAATTATTTGTTAGTGTCCACCCCCGTTTGACTCACTCGGGAACGTCGTAGGCAGGAGGAGGCAGACGGAAGAGGTAATCGCCGCTGGACAGCGACATGCCCCTGTAGTAGAGGCCCGGAAAGTTCCACGTCTGCCGCACGAACAGCACGCAGTTCGGGACCTGCCCAGTGGAGAGGACCAATCCTACAGTAAACGTACACCACGAAAAATTTGTGAGACATCGTCCAAATAAGCATTTTTATTTCAAATAATTATGTGCTTCACACTCACTCAGTTTAGCCGTTAGTATCAGTGCTGCGTGTAGAAATCGTGTCTCCACCATAACAAAATGGGGTAACACCAAGGATTCTGTGCGAGATTCCTTACACTCGACCAAAAGTCGTTCTGGTTCTCTACGACCACCCGATAAAAATCAGGATTTAAAATTATTAACAAGGAAGCCCTCAAATGGTCCTTGATTGCTGCTGTGTACTTCATGAGGAGGTCAAAGTTTGAGCACCTTTGAATGCAACTAATTCGACTTATTAACGGCATGTTCGTGATACAATTGGTAAGCTTCTCCAGAGCCTTCCACTTTGTGCTTGAAGTGGAACCTCCGGTCAGCCTGCAGGCTCGATACACTTGGCCAGGCTTACTCTATAGTCAGACTCTGAGGAGTATATAGCGTTGTTAAAAATCGGCAATGAGATTAGTCGGAATATCCTTGCCGGATCTCCGGATTAGATTGCGATTGTCGCGTGACGACAACGTCGCTCAGAAAAGAATCGGCTGTTTTGAAGCAAAGTAGTTTGGGCGTATAAACTTTGTCTGCCCCAGCTCCGCTTGATTTTGAACAGATCTTTGTTAATTCAACTTTTTACGCTGATCTTATGTTTCAAATTCTCGCCTTTAAAAATATAACATCATCAGCCACAACCAAAACTTAACAAAGAAGGTCTTCTGTAAGTTTTAGCAGATTAGTCTCTCTCTTAGTTTTGTTTGAATAGTCCTCATGACGTATATTCCAAAGCAATTCACACCTATGTAACGTCTCCAAAAACAATACAATATCGTCCGGACTCAACTTCGCGTTCTTATTAGAGCTGTCGTTTAAATAAAGGTGCTTATACACGGGGCTATTAGTTGCGTATATTGGTTGCGTCTACTACAGTTCTGCAGGCTGAGAGCATATACACGAGTATAGTGTTTTATGTACACTGCGCCCGCGTCAGTGCGACGGTGGGTGTTGTCGAGTAAGGGTGTGCACGGTGGAGGCATGCGAGAGCTCGACAGCAGCGCGCGCTACAGTGGGCGAGAGAGAGCGACGCAGCCGTACTCGTTACGACGGCCGGGCGGCTACTGAGCGCAATAGACTGCTTTAAAACAACTCGAGGTGCTGTGCCTGCAATGAACCAGCTAGTTGCCTCTGAACACGTCCAGCATCACAAATTTTAGTAGCCTCGCCTAGTAGACGCAACTTATAGCCCCGTGTATAAGCACCTTATGACATGCTCGAATCACTAAAGTCACTTGGCACAATCAAGATGAGAGCAACACAGTTGTGCACAGTCCGAAAGCCGAGGAGCTACTGAGCACACTCTACTGACTCTAGTCTCTGACTCGACTCCAGTCTCGACTGCTTCAAAAAACAACTTCAGGTGCTCAGCGTGCAATGCTCCAGCTAGTTGCCTCTGAAGACGTCAACCATCACTCAACGCAACTAATCGCCCCGTGTATGGGCACCTTTAGCCAGATGGTTTAATAATAGCTTTACAGATGAGTCTTTCGTACGAAAGTTTTGAGAATGCCAAAATTAGGGTGTGCTTACGCAACACGTATCTTTTAGTACGAAAGTATAAAAAGATACGAAGTTTCGATTATCCGGCTCCTAGGCAGGGGTTAAGATCTCATTTTCAGCAGTTACTGAGCCATGAGAGAGATTACAAAGGTCATCACCAACATGAAACCCCCAAAGTCATTTTCTTTGGAAAAGCCAGTCCTTCCATCACTGATAATTGATTAATATTATCATATCATTGTGATGTCGGATCTGAAGAATATGCCGGATGTGGCCTGTCGCTGATTCTTGTACTTTTTCTAGTTGGAAAATTCATTTTACTAACGAATAAAATAATTCATAGTGTTAATTTTTGTGACTTGTTAATTCAATCTCCTCAAACTTCAAAAAGCCTATCAAATGCTCAAATTTTTCGAGCTTAGTAATAGTCTTGGCATTTGGGTTGGGTAGCATATAGAATAGAAGTGTCGGCACTGAAGACAGGCCTATGGGCTGTTGCCGATTCTTGTACT